TATAAACAGAATTCATTCTCCAGGATGAAAAAGAAAGGCCAAGAACATAGATTCTTCTTTGTTAAGCTGATGGACTTCTCTGCTTCCACAGTGTCACAGTTTGAATGATGAGTTATTTCCCAAAGGTCTGTGTGTGTATGCTTGATACCAAGGTAGTGCTACTGAAAAGCTATGCACCTGTAGAGAACGGGCCTTGTGGGAGGTTGTTAGTTACCAGGAATGTACTCTCAAAGACAACTGTAGGACTCCAGTCCTTACCTCTTCCCCTTCCACTTTCTGGCTATTAAGGGGAAGAGTTTTCCCTTATTTTAGGACCAAATGAAGTTTATCATGAACAAAAAATGGGCCATACTACCCCATCTCTCTCTTGTTTTCAGTGCTGGAGATTGAACCCAGTATCTTGCACATACTGAGCAAGGACCACTGAGCTAATCTTTTCTCATTACAAGGTAATTACCTCAGGTACTTACAGCAGTAGTTCAAAACTGACTAACACGTGCACAAACATTGTTATTGGGATCTAACTAATTTCTCTAATTTCAGGGCCTCCTCCAGTCCTTAGACTGTTCAGTAGAGGAGAGACAAGTTGAGTACTTTCTGTACTCATATCATGCATATGTGTTGATTTGATTCAATTTAAAAGATCTCAGAGAATTTTCTCAAAAATGCCCAAAGAATATGAAAGTCTGACTTGTAATCGCTCTAGAATAGACTACATTTACTTGCAGTGGCTTTGACCACTGAAGGCAGTTGGTGAGGGTACGAGGGAACACCTTAACTACACTGTAACCCCTGATGAAGAAGGAGAGTTGGCCCATCATCCTTCCAAGTCCCTGCACTGAACTTTCAGAGCCAGCATGCCCACAAGGAAAGACAAGCCTCTGAATAAAGCTCCAGGACTCCAGGCTTCCAGCACCTAGCAATGTGTTTAGTCCTGATGTTAAGGAATGCATTAGCCTCTGCCGGCACAGGCATGTCACAGTGATGCTTCTAACACAAGCCGGAGCACAAGTTTGTTTCAAGTCTTTACTTGCTTTGATAGAAGGTGTGCTGGCAGCTGTTGTCATCATTAGCCTTGTGGCAATACTTTTTTCCCTTAAGTGTCTTATGTCTCCTGTGAAAGCTTACGGCTTGTTAAATAGGGAGGAACTTTGGACTGCCTGCCAATGTCAAACAGTAAAGTTTTTATTTTCTCCTGTTGTAACAGCTTTGAAAGGCTAAATTTCCAAACCACAGTCTAACAGCATTCAGGATTTTAAATTAGATACTGTGGTGAGAAAAAGAGTGTAATAATTTTTCTCCTGATTTTATGACCTTTACCAGAGTATTAGTAAATGAAGGATCCAGAGCCTTGAGGCAGTGGTGAATAATTCTTTTGTAATGCTGGCATTTTGTGAATGTATAAAGCTTGTCCTAGCTATGATTCTGTGATCTACAGTCATGGTATCTGAATCTCCGTGTTCCACTCAGTATAACCTGGCATCGACCTTGCAACGAACGCAAGTGACAATAAGTAAGAACCACTATGTGCCAGGCAAGATCACTACAAAATGTTCACCAAATGCTTGAGATGGACATCTGACTCTATGTCACAGATGACGAAAGCCAAGAAACTCGCTTATGCTGTTATTCATTATAAGGAAATTGTTGGAAAAGTAGTGAGCTCTCCAACATTGTAAAAAGAATCATGCTAGAAGACTAAAAGTTCTTTAAGGAAAGAACTCGTATCCCCTTCTGGTTTGTCTCCTCCCCCTGCAGTATCCAGAACAGTGTGTCACACATAAATTCTTAATAAAAGTGTACTAAGTAAATGAAAGGGCCTAGGCCTATATTCTGAAGCAATCCTAACACACTCAATTTCTCGACTTTCTCTCCCCTGTCTCCTCTCTCTCTCTCTCTCTCTCTCTCTCTCTCTCTCTCTCTCTCAAGATTTGTATATTACAGGGTAAACATAACTTCTAGAACCCTCAAAAATCATCCGTACCCCACCCACATTTATGGTCTTTTGGCAAAGTTGCCTGCTTTCCTAGGAGACACAGATCAGCAGCTGCAAAATGAGTGAACTTCAGTACAAAGGAACAGGTTGGGGCCAGTAATTAAGGACACTGAATCCATTTGAAACTGAAGTGAAATTAATGAAAGTGGAATGTATTTATCAGAACTGGAATGTGGCCAGGATTCTAGGGAAAATACCAATTACCCTTTTATAATATAAAGTTGGACATACACATTTAACTGAATTTCTGAGATCCACACAAAGGACAGCTCATCCTTGAACAATTTCTTCCATTGAAAGTACAACAAGTTCTTTGTACTTTCATAGCAACTCCTCACATCCAACAAAGCAAACCTCGTCCCGTTGGTAACGAAGGTGAGTTGTAACGGATGAAGTTGGAGAAGACTTGAGCAGTACAGTCTCTGTGCCCTAAATTAATGCAGGGTATTACCACAGCCTCAGATACCCCAAAAGAGAAGACACCTGAGTGATCCCCCAGGCCCTCATGGCAGAAGGGAAAACTGATACCTTTGAGTTGTTAAGTTGTTCTTCTAACTTCCACATGTGCATCATGGTACATGTGTGCCCATCCACCCTGCACATGTACTAAATAAATTACAAGATTTTTTAATCTAAATTTTTTTAAGTGAAAAATTAGATACCTTTCCAAGTTTCTAACCACCTTCAAGTAGAATTCTATGAAAAAGTTTAAACTAAAGCAAAACCAAAGAAAGAGAGTGTCCCATAGCCTAAGGAGATAAGCTGGCTGAGAGCAATGTCAGGCCTGGTTTGAAACCTTACTAAACAGTGTCTCCCCTTCTCTTGTGCTGGGATTGCTAAGCATTCATCCCTCAACTCAGCCATAATCCCCGATCCAAGACAAAGCAACTATTTTTTTTTTTTATGAGCTATCTAAATGAACAAACAGAGATGAAATATTTGGCTATATTAAGGGATTTCTTTTTATTAATTTTATTCATTTGTGTGAGTGGAGAGTATGCACATGTCACTGTACATGTGTAGAAGGCAGAAGGTGACTTTCAAGAGTCAGTTCTTTCCGGCCACCACACGGGTCACAGAGCTCAAGTTCAGGTCATCAAGCATGGCAGCAACTTCTACCCTGAGCCATCTTACCAACACAGAAGTTATATTAATGTTCAATTTCAGTAATAGCTACAGCTTAGAAGTATGCATATTATAGTATTTGTAAATGAAATAATTCCAGGATTAGCTTTAACACAGAGTAAGGTAGGGAAAAGTTGAACATTAGATAAAACAAGATTGTTCATGTATTTATACCTATGGAGGCTTAAAATGGATCCAAGGGTATTCATTATACTACATTTCCTACTGTTACAAGTTTGATATTAAATAAGATAATAAACATAATAAAAGCCATCTTTTAGAAAAAGTCAGTCAGTTAACATGGATATTCACCACAGGTTGTGGCAGAGGTAGGATGGCTCAAGTGCAATTTCCTTAAACACAATTTTCTCTCCCTTAAAAAAGAAAGCATCTGAGAATGGAAATGATTGGGATGCCACAGCATTCACTAAATCCTAATTTTAAAAAATCTACAATTTAAGAAATTTAATTTCTAAATCTTTGTACATACATGATATGTGTACATGTATGTCTGTGCCTGTGTGTGTGAGGGCACATGCCACTATGTGTATGGAAGTCAGTGGCAGGGCCTTTTGTTGTTCACAGCTAGTTGGCTTGCAAGCTTTAGAGGTAGCCTCCTATCTCTGCCTCCCAATTCATTCTAGAAATGTGAGGACTACAGACATGAATGACCATGGCCAACTCAGATGGGCTCTTCGGACCTGAACTCAGATCCCCACCCTTGGATAACAAGCACTTACCCACTGAACCATCTCTCCAGTCCTAAAATTATTTTCTTGAAATGGAACCTCACTATATCACTCAGGCTGGTCCTGAATTCCAGGTTCAACAATTCTTATGCCTAAGCCTCCCACCTACCAGTGTGCTAACTTTATAGTTTTAAGATATCTTCAACACAGTCTCTTACAAAATTGTTTACTTCATTTCATTTTTACTATAATGGCATGCATCAAAATAAATCCTAGCCTGACATTTCATCCTGAAAACTGAAACAGGATTATAAATCTGAGGCCAGCCTGGGCTAGATAGTGAGTGATTTCCAGACCATTCTGTGCTACATAATAAGACCTCTCAAAATAGGCAGGAGTGGAAAGAAGAAACTGAAGGAGGGAAAAAGAAAAGGGAGATGGAAAGAGAGGGAGAAAAGAAAAGAGGAAAAAATAGAAACAGAGAATTGGTGAAGATTCTTTCTCAATCTGTAGGTTGCCATTTTGTCCTAATGACAGTGTCTTTTGCCTTACAGAAGCTTTATAGTTTCATAAGGTCCCATTTGTCAATCTTAGAGCCTGAGCCATTGGTTCAGAAGTTCAGAAAAACTGTCTCCTGTACAAGTTCAAGGGCATTTCTCACTTTCTCTTCTATTAGATTTAGTGTATCTGGTTTTATGTTAAGGTCTTTGATCCACTTGGACTTGAGTTTTCTATTGTATGCTTTTGTCTTCTTTGTCAAAAAATCAAGTGTCCCTAGGTGTGTGGGTTTATTCCATGGTCTTTGATTCCACTATATTGATTCAACTCTTTGTTCCTATACCAATACCATGAAGGTTTTTATCACTATTGCTCTGAAGTTCAGCTTGAGGTCAGGGATAGCGATGTCTTCAAGTTCTTTTATCGTTTTAGCTATCCTGGGTTTTTTGTTTTTCCATATGAAGCTGAGAATTGTTCTTTCAAGGTCTGTAAAGAATTTTGTTGGAATTTTCATGGGAATTGCACTGAATCTGTGGCTAATATCTAAAATTTATAAAGAGCTCAAGAAATTAGAAACCAACAATCCAAATAACCCAATTAAAAAATGAGAATCCCACTTCCTGTCTGACATTGGCATTTTGCTAAGGGTCACATTGAAGTATGCTGCTCCAGGACAGTCTTTTGGAGTCAGGATGGCTGAAGACATCAAGATTAAAATCAAGAACTACAAAACTGTTCCCTTTGACAGCCGCTTCCCAAACCAGAACCAGACTAAGAACTGCTGGCAGAACTACCTGGACCTCCACTGCTGCGAGAAGGCAATGACTGCAAAGGGGTATGATGTCTCCATGTGTGAATGGTACCCACATGTGTACAAGTCCCTCTGCCCTGTGTCATGGGTGACTACATAGCAGAAGGCACATTTCCTGGGAAGATCTGACCTTGCTCCACCCATCTCTCCTCTGTTCTTTGACCTTCTCCCCGGATAGAAAAGGGACCTCGGTATATGATGGTCCCTACCCTGGGACCCTGAATCATAATGCAACTACTAATAAAAAACTCACTGGAAAGTTTAAAAAAATGGAGCACAGAGTTACACTGAGAATTTTTCAACAGAGGAATCCTGAATGGCCAAGAAGCACTTAAAGAAAAGTTCAATGGCCTTAGCCATTAGTGAAATGCAAATCAAAATGACCCTGAGAATAGACTTACACCATTCAGAATGGCTAAGATCAAAAATGCAATAATAGCACATGTTGGTGAGGATGTGGAGCAAGGGGAACAATCTTCCATTGCTGGCAGGAGTGCAAACTTGTACAACGACTTTGGAAATCAACTTGGTGGTTTCTCAGAAAACTGGGAATAGCTAGCTGTACCTCAAGACCCAGCTATACCACTCCTGGACATATATCCCAAAAATACCCTCTCTATACCACAGGGACACATGCTCAACAATGTTCATAGCCTTATGCGTAATAGTCAGAAACTGGAAACAACCTAGATGACCCTCAACTGAAGAATGGATAAAGAAAATATGTCATATCTACACAATGAAATACTATTCAGCTATTAAAAACAAAGACATCGCAGGGGGGGGTGCACACCTTTAATCCCAGCACTTGGGAGGCAGAGGAAGGCAGATTTCTGAGTTTGAGGCTGGCCTGGTCTACAGAGTGAGTTCCAGGACATCCAGAAGTACACAGAGAAACCCTGTCTCGAAAAAAACAAAAAAAAAAAAAAATCTTGAATTTTGCAAGAAAATGGATGGAACTTGAGAATATCATCCTGAGTGAGGTAATCCAGAGCCAGAAAGACATGTATGGTATGTGCTTAGTCATGAGTGGACATTAGCCATAAAGTACAGGATAACCATGCTACAATCCACAGACCCAAAGAAACTAGGTAATAAGGAGGGCCCAAGGAGGGTGCACTAATCTTACACAGATAGGAAAATTAGTCATCTGAGGTGGATAGAGAGAGGGACCTGAGTAGGAAAAAAGATGAGGGTGAGAATGCGCATCAAGTGTGGGGAGAAGGGAAAGAGAGAGGGCTGTGAGTAAGAATGGAAATTGGCATGGGGGGTGCATTTCTGGTGACTAGCTGAAGGCCTGAGATGGGAAAGAATACAGGGAATCTTGGGAGTGACCCTAGCTTAGATTCCTACCAGAGAGGCTAGAGACTGAAGTAGCTACCTCCTGTAGCCAGGCAGGACTTCCAGAGGAGAGAGGGGGCTATCAATCCACCCACAAAGCCTTCAACCCACAACGTGTTCTGCCTACAAGATGTACAAGTACAGGGATAAAAATGGAGCTGAGACTGAGGGAAGCAAACAGCCAATGAGTGCCCCAACTTAAGCCCCATCCCATGAGAGAGCCAACCCCTAAACACTACTAGTGATACTCTGCTATGCTTGTAGACAGGAACCTAGCATAACTTTCTCCCGAGGCTTCATCTAGCAGTAGATGGAGGCAGATGCAGAGACCCACAGCCAAATATCAGGCAGAACTCCAGAAGTCTTGTGGAAAAGTTAGGGATAGAAGTGAGCATGTCAGAGGTGTCATGGACACCACAGGAAGACCCACAGAGTCAACAATCCTGGGACCATGGGGGTTCACAGACTCTGAAATGCCAACCAGGCATTTGTGTGAGCTGGTCCTGGACCTCCTACATATTTGTAGCAAATGTGTAGGTTGATCTTCATGTGGTTCTCCTAACAAGTGGAATGGGGGCTATCTCAGTCTCTGTTCCCTGCCATTGAATTCCCTTTCCCCCTTCCCTGGTTGGGTCTCAGTGGGAGAGGATGTGTCTCTAGTCCTACTGTGACTAGAAGCCACAGAGTGAGATTGTAACCAGGGTGATCCCTCTTCTTTGAGGAATAGGGGAGGGGCAATGAGGGGAGGGATTTGGGAAGATAGAAGTGGGAGAAGCTGTGATAGGGACATAAAATGAGTTTTAAAAATAGACCCACAATGGAAGGTTAATCTGGTTGACAACAATAGAGTAAAGTCAACTTTCTTCTTTAAAAAAGAAAGAAAGAAGGAAGGAAAGAAGGAAGGAAAGAAGGAAGGAAAGAAGGAAGGAAAGAAGGAAGGAAGGAAGCAAGCAAGCAAGCAAGCAAAGGGAGGGAGAAAGGATTTTAAATGAAGAAAATCATATTACTTTTGTAAGCCTCAGTTGAATTGCACTCACTTAATAATCTTTTGTCAACAAATATATGAAACCAAAGCTCTTTTGTTTATAATGGTTTTAATAATACCCATTAGTTGCACAAATTAATGTCTTTCTCTGTGTCGCTTCCATTTGTACATATATACTGGATGGCTTTGCTCTACTACACTCTTCCCTCATCGTCCACCCCTTTCCCTCTTCTATTAGTACTACTTTCATATTGTTCTCTTAAATTCTGTGTCTGAAAGAGCATGCAATACTTAACTGTGCCGGATTTATATTGCTTAATGTAATGGCCCAACTTCCACCTGTTTTCCTGCAAATGACATGCTTTCATTCTTCTCAGTAGCTGATTATTCCAGTGTGTATGTTTATGTGGATGGATAGATGGATGGATGAATGGATAGATATATTTTGATGATAGAAGGTAGATAGGTAGATAATAGATTAGATAGATAGATAGATAGATAGATAGATAGATAGATATGATGGAAGATAGATAATTGATGGATAGACAGAAATGATATATGATAGAAGATAGATACATGATAGATAAATAGTCAATAGATATATGATAGATGATTGATAGATAGATCACATTGTCATTCATTCATCTGTTGACAGACACCTGGGGGCTGGTTTAGGAGCTTACTGTTGTGAACAGTCCTGGAATAATTCCTTTGGTTAAAAATCTAGGAAGGATGATATGCTAATTCTATTTTTTAGCTTACCTTAGTTCACCTTAGTTTTGTTTTTGAGACAAGCTCTAGCCATGTAGCAAAGCTAACCTAAAACTTTTGATCTTCCTGCCTCAGACTCCTGAGTGCTAGAATTTTTAATCTATGCCACCATAGTGGGCCCATTTTTAGTTCAAAGATTTGGGGGGTTGTTTTGTTTGTTTGTTTGGTTGTTTGGTTTGTTGCTTGGTTGGTTGGTTTTGGCTGTTGTTGGTTTGCTTTTTGTTTTTCAAGACAAGGTTTCTCTGGGTGGTCCTAGCTGTGCTAGCACTCACTCTGTAAATGGGGCTCACCTGGACTCACAGAAATCCACCTGCCTCTACATCCTGAGTGCTGAGATTGAAGGGAACAGGGTGGTGATCTGGGCCTATATTTAGTTTTTCAGAACCTTCCATGCTGTTTTACATAATATATGGCCTAGACTATACCACACCAACAGTTTAAGGATTCCTGCTTTCTTTCATCCTTGAAAACATTTCCACCCACCCACTCCCGGTGAAAAGGTGTCTCAACTAGCCTAAACTGGCCCTCAACTCACTCTGAGCAAAGAACAGCCCTGAACTTCTGACCCTCATGCCTCTCCATCTCCCTCCTCAGTGCTGCCATTACAGGTGCATGCCACTATGCTTGGTTTCATATGGAAATAACTAGAAATGATTCCCTTTTCATGGCCAAGTCTCAATCCTGTGGAAAAATCTCTCCTCAAATTTAACGTATTTCTAAGTACATCAACAGTTTTTAGGATATTCAGGGGGAAAATGGTCTCCAATTTGTTGTTATTGCATAGGTAATATTTACCTCTTTCTGAATGACATAAGGTATCTATGGTATATTATTTTACACTTAAAGAAGTTTTTCTCATAGAAGAAGTTTGGTCTTTGTATCTGTTGCTTGGCATGTCTGGCTGTCTGCTGGACTAACACAGCCACTGTTGTTAGGATCTAACATTAGCCTCTCCTCAGGATTTGCAACAAAAACTATAATGGCTCTCCTTTATTTCATTAGCTGTTATATAATTATAAATAGTGAAACAATTTTTCAGTCTTCAAGTGCTATTTGTTTGGGGTACTGAGAGGCAGTGTTTAGAGCCTCCCATTTGCAGTGAGAATAAAAGTTTCTTAATAGGTAAACCAATATCATCAGACTAACCTTGAATTTCTCTGTTTTTGAGGCAAGGTCATGTTCACAGGACGACCTCACTATGCAGCCAAGGATAATTGTCACTTCCCGATCCGACCCGCAGAAAGGAGTGACGCAACACAGAGTTCTTCTCAAAGCAGTTTATTCAGGAACCTTAACTTCTTCCTTCAAGAAAAGCCCCCAAGCCTCTTCCCGTCCACCCTTAAATCCTTGTCTCTCTACCACTCAGATCCTGCCACGAAGGTGTTCTCTATTGGTCCAGTGCATAGCACATCATATGGCCTGATTTTGCGTAGCAGCGAGTCTGCACAGTATCTACTGTGGACATGGCTCTCTAGGGGTATATGAGGAAGTCAGGCGCCATTTTGGACTGGCCACCACACCCGCTCCTCACAATTCCCCCTTTTATTTAATTTTGGCAGAGAGAATGCCTGTCTTAGGTTGCCCCTTGCGACAATGCTCCTTACCCATCATTGGGAGTCAAACAGCTCTGGTTTGGTCCCTGTCTTAGGTTGGTAACACGTCCAAGGAGTCTTACCCGTCACTGACTACTTCTCTAGCATGCCAAGCCACACCTGAGGAGATTGTCCCATTTCCACAGCTGCAAACGCTTGCATCAACAAGGCTTGATTCTTAACTTGTCGATTTCTCATATTACACATGCACCAGAATGCTAGGCAACTGATGTGGAGCAGACACAAGGCCACCCCCCCAATTCTGGCCCATTCTTTCAGGTAAGACATTGCTTGAAGTATCCAATTGGACAATCCAGAGACCAGGGAACAAATCGAGGCATGCGGGCAACTGTTGCAAAAGGATAAGCAGAAGCATTCCAGCACGTCATATAAAAACAACTATTATTAGCA